GGTGAGAGGCACCCAGCCCCAGGGAGGGCAGCGAGGTGGGTGCTGCTGGGGAGAAGGGATCTTGGCTGGTCCTGGAGGTCCAGCACCGGGTGGGGTGGGGTGGGAGGAGCACCCCAGATCTCTCCTGCAGCCTTGGCTTTGTTACCTTGGGGCTCGCCAGGTACCCCGGGACCTCTCTTCAGGTGCCTCTGGCCCAAACTCGCCCCTTGGACCCCGTCGGCAGTGTGGTGCTCCCAGCCTGGGCTGATGGGGACCCGGGCTGCACTGTGCCAGCACCCAGCCCTGTCCCCCCACAGCCAGCATTTCCTCCTGGGAGATGGGAGCGAGCGTGTCCCTGCCCACAGCCCCACGGCCGCAGAGCCTGGGTGGCAGCTGGGTCTGTCCACCCAGCCCCGTGGGCTGGAAGGGGCTGAGCTGTTGAGGCACAGCGGTGCCTTAGCCAGGTCCCACAGTGACCATTCTCCCACCCCCCAGTGACAAGCCCCATGAAGGCCCATTTTATTTGTAAAATTTCACTGCATCTTCCTTTCTTTAACTTTAAACGCTCGTTTCTGTTGCAGCCCCAGCTAAGGAGCTAAAATGCAGCAACTAAGGGCGAGCATCAAAGCAGAAATACCTGCCACGCCGGGGTGCACTGCCCCAAGCCTGGCAGGGCATACAGGACTGCCGTGGGGCTGCCTCCCCCCTGTCCCACCACAGCCGGAGCCCAGCTCAGGGGAGCGGGCGTAGGGGAGGTTTTACCAACATGCCTGCGAGTCGGGCTGTGGAGACAGCCCCGTCCTCCCTCAGGGCAAGAGGAGAGAGCTGGGCTGGCACCTGGTGCCCAGGGAGGGCTGGGGGGACTGAGCCCTCCTCCCCACCGAGTAGCTCCCCGCTCTCATCTCCCAGGGAGCGGCTACAGCTCAGGGCACTGGGCTCCGTCTTGATGACCATATAATTAAAGCTACCGAGGAAAACACACAGCCCTTGCGGGAGTGGAACAGCCCGGTCCCAGCAGGCTGCAGTCAGGACACAGCCCGGGCACAGCGCTCTGCCGGAGCAAAGTGAGGTGAGGAAGGAAGGGAGAAAGCACTGCCCTGCTCCTCACGCGGCCACTCGCAGAGCCCCATCGCTCACAGCATCGGCCCCGGGACGCCCCTCGTTTTTACCCAACGCTGATCCTGCTGGCCTGCTGCAGACAGGTCCCCGTGCGGGGTCAGCCAGTGCTTTCCTCTGCACTTATTTTACGGCGATGTGCTTATCAACAGGCCAGGGTGGCCCCGGGGCAGCTTTGGGCAGGGAGGAGCCGGTTATTTAGCCCACAGCCGAGGCGAGGCGCACGCTGCTCCCGAGGGGAGTGCAGCAAGCGGCGGCAGCGCCAGCCCCACACGGCCACACAGCCCAAAGACACGGCTCCGGACATCGGCGTGTTCCTACCAGCCTGCGGTAGGCACCAGGCAAGCAGCGCTCCCAGCCGTGGAGGAAGAGGGAGCAAACCATCCAACAGCTTGCAGCATAATTCAATTAAAAATAGTCATTTTTGTGCCCTGCAGAGGCTGTAGACTCAGTCCAGCTTTCCCAGGTTTCTCCACTGCTGGGGGGAAGCAGTAGGAAAGCCCCATAATTTCAGCCAGACTTTAGAAATACATGTCTAAAAACCACTGCAAATACAGCTAACAAACTTTTTCTAGCTTATACCGGATTAATTTAAAATTAGACAGTATTATACTTCAGTCCTTTTCCTCCCTCTGAGCTATGGAAGTAATATATCAAGCTCTTGGCTAGTTATTCGTTTTATTACAAATAAGCATTTAATGACTGAGTCAGTTGCACAGTTTTGGCCAAAACAAAAACATTTCAGGAGACAGAAAACAAAGTTGTGCTACAGATAAGGAATGATCTCACACTGCTAGACGACCAGCCATTTCATGGCCAGTGTTTGTTCAGTACAGACAGCATCTCGACTCGCTCGATCATTTTTGCAGAACTGTTGTAACTGGCACACACAAAGAATGCTCAAAGCTTTCTGGGCTAAAAGCAGCTTTACAGCATATATTTAAAATAATTGAGGAATAAAGCAAGAGGGGCTGTGGAAGAGACCACTTAAGATGAGACAGGACAGTGTTTAATTAAGTTTGGCATCAGACAACACGGGAGTTAGTACTCAGCCAGGCTCCAGACATACAGCTTTTTCCAAACTTTAATGAACTGAGTAGTTCTGAACATATGACACTTCAACAACTGAGACACTTTCTTCCTTTCTTCTAAATTACCGAAGACCAAACACTGTGTCGCTTACACTGCAGCGAGAGGCAGGAAAAAAAAAAGGCGAGTGCATTTCCCACCCCAGAACTGCAAAGCTGAGCTCGTCACCGCAGGACAGCACACATCTATGAACTAAACCGAGTAACACTGTAGGCAAATTGCGAAGCCCCTCCCTCAGGAAACAGCACTTCTGTATTGCATCGAGTGCGGGACGCGCGGCTCCGCCGTATAAAAGAAGGCAACGGAAGGCTCCACTTCCCATCAACGAAAAAAGCACCATGAACTCTTCAGTCCAAGGCAAATCACAACAGGAGCTGTTAAAGGCAGCATCTGAAAGTAGTTCACTTTCTTTTCTGTACCTCCCCCTTGATGCAAGGAGTTGAAGTTTCCCAGCCCAAGAAGCAGCACCAGCAAAGGCTGGCATAGAAAGGGCTAACAGTTACGCCTCGTTTCAAGCAACGATGGGCTTTCCTGACAGTTTTGCCCCCCCCCCCCCCCCCGCCCCAAGTTAATTGCATCCCTGCAGAGTGGCATATCACAGTTAGAGCTGATCATGTTCCAGATTAACTCTTCTATTCCAGGAAGATTTTCCTGGTTGAAAGTTCATTGCCGGCAATGAATGCACCAAGACGACCAGTGCCAAACGTTCTTAAATACTATTGAAAAAAACAAAATAGAACAAAACATGCCCTCCCCTCCCCCCAAAAAAAAAGACTGCATAAAGCTGAACAGACCCATCCTCTGCAGCACAGCACAGCTCAAGAACTGAGCGAGCCCCCAAAATCTAGTTCATCCACATAATTTCAGTAAGTAAGAAAGACCGCTGAGGGAGCAGAAAGGCTGGAGACAGCAACTCAACTGTCAGCGTCCAAGATAGAAACTCATGCCAGCATTACCACGCATTAGGAAGGAAGTGTGCACCTGGATTCTCCCCAACACATCAAATCCCATACCCGAATTTGCTTTTTATCTCCAAAACGGTGCTAACTGAAGAAAGTGTAGAGGTGCATGTGCTGTGATGAGCTCTCCTCCAGAAATAAACAGAATCTACACAGAAAATAAACAGGACAGAAGAGTTGAGGAAATAAAGGGACAGGATTTCATAATGAAAATTATAAAACAATAACTTAAGAAAGCCCAAAGCTGAGAGTGTTCAAGCTATTGCTGTAAGAATGCCTGGAAAAACTACTGAAGACTCTTCTCTTCAGCGAAGACACATCTAGAGAAGGAGAGAGAGAAAAGGAGCAGGAATTATTGACAGTGAAGAGCAACAGGCTGGAGTTGCACAACACACTGAAGTTTGAGTCTTACATATGTCACCCCAGTCAAACATAACAGTGGGACCTGACAACACTCCTCTTCCCAGGATGAAAGATGTCTGTTAGTTTTATAGGGGCACTATGGCAACATTAAGACCAATGTATTACACCCCTAAGGCGGCAAGCTCATTCTAGAAGTCGACGTTTAAATAAAATGTAGGGAGTGAGCACAGTTAAGCAAAGAATTAACTTCGTGCCCTTCCCAGCACTGCCCATGGCTGGTACCAAAGGAAAATCTTCATTATGTTGCAGCTATTAAGAGGGAGTTGAGCTGAGACATGTACCAGCAGGCCAATCAGCCAGACAGGGGACACACTTTTTCCCTACAATTTCTTCATTTGGGGATGGCTTCCAAGCCGTCGGGTATCAATGCAGCACCAAGACTTGTCACATTAGGGAGCACACTGGATACTGTCAGCGAGCCAAAGGCTCAGAGTATCTTCAGGAGGATAAAAATTTACAGAGAGGATTCTTCAGCTTTTAGTTTGCTACTGTACCAAATCTGGAACAACCCAACACCTAGCAATCCCAGCTATCTTCAGCAAGCGCAAAGGCCCAGTCCCATGACCAGGGATGGGGAAGTACTTCTGTGCTAGACTCGGGCTAATACTCATTTTCACTCTGCAGTTATTTTGGAAGCGTCTGTTACATGAAGGAAAGAGGGAGGAAGGAAGAGTTGGACATCGTTGGTCCCCTGGCATTCAGCAATAAACCCCTGCTCTCACTCGGCATGCGTGTGCACAAATATTGCTTAACTTCTCCAACACCACCACACAAAACCAGCCAGAGCAGCGGGAAAAAGTGTTACATCCATGACCGCCTACTGCACAAAGGGAGAACTCATTTCAATATTAAGTCTACCTTTTGCTGGTGAAGTTTGAATGCTAGGTTTTAGTGATCCCCCCTCCAAGACTGGATTATATACATCCAATTTTTGCATCCACGTAACATCTGTAGCAGCTATTACAATTCAGAGCTCAAGCGCACTGGTTTGCTAGAGAAACTTGCTGTCTCAAGAGATGGGGGAGAATGGCTATTTCAAAAACATTCTTGGCAAAGGTGAGAGATCGCTCCCAAAAATACCAAACTTTCCAAATCCAGTAACCCCTTGCTCAGCTTTGCCTCCACTTTCAGGAATGTGTGCTATATTTGTGCTTTGTTTCTTTATTTGAATTTAATCTCAAACTCCCACATGTATTTTAATACTTTATTATGTGTCAATTTGCTAAGGAAATACCCACCCACATCTGTTATACAGACATGAGGTATTATGCATCCCTCAGCACAGCTGGAACACATGTGTGAGCACCAGCACTTTTCATGTGTGTGCCAGTTTTCTACCAACTGATGTGAAACATTCAGATGCCAGGAGGAAAGACTGGGCAAGGAATTTTCTCCATAAGGAAAGAGGTTGAGGTCATTAAAAGTTACCAGGAATCAGTCATGATTTACTGATGGAAACTTCAGCTCTGTTATCTCCAAGTCAGGCGAGCTGCTGCCACTTCTATCGCTGTAGGTGTCCCTGCAGAATTCAGAAAGATTTTGTTTTACGGAGCACAAGTGCTTTATAGACCTAGTTTTGCATTAGGATTTAGCGGGGTTTGGTAGTAAGTACTGCTAGCTGAGGTTGAAAAGCAAAGCACACAAAATTCCTCTGCAGCTGTCCCTTTGGAAATAGGGCTGAGTCATCATCAGTTTTAAGGTTTGTGAATTAAAATGATTATACATATAATAGGCATTTTATAAGGCAAAGTTATTCTAAAGGCAATTCAGTAAGAAGGAAATAGGAGACTGGTTAACCACCCATAGGTCATTCTATTTCAGCTTCCCATTAACAGCTGATTGCCTTTAACCCATTAAACAGCTTCTTCAGAATGACAAAGTAATTCAGATCGGAAGGGACCTCAGGACAGTTACACTGCAGGGACAGCTATCAAATCAGACATGGCTGCTTCAGGGCTTTATCAGTCACATTCTGAAATTCTCTGAGGGCAGAGACTGCACAGCAATTTGCACCAATGTGTGACTGATCTAACGGTGAAAAAGATTTCCCTTATATCCAGTCGGAACCTCTCTTATTTCAATTTATGTCCATTGTGTCTCATCCTTCCACCATGCACTTCTGTAAAGATCCTGTTTTCATCTTCTTGGTAACGTTTCTGTAGGTGCTGGCAGGCTGCTCTTAGGTCCCCCATAAAGTCTTCCCTTCTCCAGGCTGAACAAGCCCAGCTCCTTCAGCCTCTCCTCACTAGGGAAGTACGCCCACCTCCTGACCTTCTTCGTGGCCCGCCACTAAACTCTCTCCAACTTACCAATGTTTTACTAGTACTGGGCAACCCCAAACCGCACAGAACATTCTAGATGTGGTCTAACAAATGCCAAGTGAAGAGACATAATCACTTTTCTCCATCTACTGGCTGTGCTCTTACTCATACAGCGCAGGATGCTGTTCGTCTTTCCTTTGCTGCCAGCGCACACTGCTGGTTCATGCTCAGTTTGCTGCTCCCCAAGACCTCATCAGCAGAGCTGCTCTCCAGCTGCTCAGTCCCCAGCCTGTGTTACTGCACGGGGTTCCTGGGTGCAGGACTCTGCATTTGTCCTTGTTAAACCCCATCAGGTTCCTGCTGGCCCGCTGCTCCAGCCCATGTCCCTCCGAACAGTGGTCCCATTCTCTAGTGTATAGTCTGTGCCCCCCAATTTGGGGTCACCTGCAAACCTCATGAGAATGCAATGATGAGACTTATCTGAAAACGTGATAAGAGTTACAGGGGGAACATAGGCTGGGCTACAACTGCCACCAATATTTTTAGATAATATGCTAAACATGAAACAATTTGTGACCACAATCACAAAAGTCTCTAACAGCAGATAATACTAGCTTAGGATGCTGCAGTAAAGAGGAAACTTCAGCTCCTCTGCTGTGAGAAGCCATTTCAAACTCAATGTGCAAAAGCAGGAAATTAAAATCTCCCTCAACACTTGGAGCACTGAAATAAGGCATCTTCACACAGAAACCCTCTTCAGAGCAGATCAGTCAGAGCACAACTGACAGCTGTCCTCCAGACATTGACACAGGAATTCCTGTGCTGCAGCTGCATTGCAGCTCAACCCAGAAAGGCAAATACTTTCCTTTTTGCATTGCTTTAGTTTAATACATTCAGTGCTATTTCTCTTTTGCATTTAGTCTGGGGTTTTTTGTTTAGTGCATGTTAGCACTCCACCTACAGAAGCAAATCCTCTGTTTTCCTCTATAAGGAGGAAAATGGGTCACTATCAAAGTGATGTTTATTTGTTGCATATTGCCACGTCTGCTGAGCAGAACTGCAGGGCATTAGGGAGCAGCAGAAGGAAATAAATATACCATTAAGTCTACCCAAAACATTAGTTGCTTTGCAAACTGAAACAAAAGAAAGCTTAAGACAGCAGAAAAAATGAAGCTGCAACCACCAGGGCCCATTCTTTAAACCAGCAACAGCAACAAGTTTCTTAAGGACCAACTTGTACCTAGGACTTGCACAAGGAACATGGGGAAAACCCCACGAGGTCTCCAATCATCTAAAAGAGCAGGCCCGGCTGTAGTTTATCCAAACACCTCTGACTGACAAAGAGTTACTCTCCTTGCACCCTGCAGTCGGGACCTCACTGCAGGACAGCTCTATGGCACTACAGTCAATCTTAAAATGCAAGACGAGGTTTCAAAGAAAGCGTGAAAAGAAGAGGTGCTGCAAATACCCCCTAGTTACCTCGCAGTAACTCTGTGCCAAGAGGATCCTCCAGTTTATCCTGTAGAAAGAAGCACTGCCCTGTGAAAGGTCTGACTGCTATCTTCCTTCAACCTACCTGGGTGAGAGCCTGCAGCCCTTTTGTAGATAATGCGTGAGTCTTCCTGCAGACGCCAAGAGGAGGCCAAAGTATGGGGGAGATGGCTTAATTGGTCTAGAGAGGAATTCAGGATGATACTGAACACCAACAAAGAAAGGATGCTCTAAGAGAAAGAAACAGAAAACATTAATGTCAAGTCTCTTAAGCCTGTGGCTGAACTGCAATTGAAAGCACTGATCGCATTGAAGCCCTGATGATGGGGAAGAAGTGTCATTTCTATCCTGCCTTTTGTCCCTAAATGGACAGGCACATGGGACTCTTTAGTGTGATTTTATGGATGGAATCATTCTCAAAGAGCCTGGACTGGTCCCACACAAAATCCTCCTTAACTACCCTCCGAACACTTTCACTTGTAAATACCTACACCCACAAACTAATTGCTTAAGTACTCACCTTCCAACTCAACCACTTCCATTCGCTCTCCCTCCTCATCCTGGCCTACAAACTTCAAACCTTGCTCTTCAAAACACTTTTTCAATTCTGGATTGACCTAGAAGACCAGAAGCAAGAAAATCCATGATCCCTTGTGTTTGGATTACACAGAAAAGCTCAACACCTACAATAGCATTTTTACCTCAAATCTGTGTCTATGTCTCTCTTCCAAGAAATCATGATCTCCGTACAGCTTCCCTACCCCAAAAGGAAAACGTTTCTTAGAGCAAATGCCAAACAGTTCACACGATGCCAAGTTTTAACAAGTTCATATGAATAGCATCCATAAGAATCTGCCACTTCTAGAGGGGACCAAATTCATTTATCTCCATTTCACTACCAGAACAAAGTCTGCAAACACCAACCATTCAAGGATGCTTTAAGATTCCCAGGTCTCACTTCCCCATACCCACCATACACGCACATCATTCCCAGGAAACACTTTCAAAAGAGGTAAGAAATGCCTTACTCATGATTGAATTCTTGGTTTGGAAGAGTGTTCTTCTCTTGCCAAGCCTCATGGTCCCACCCATTTGCCCAGGATTATGTTCTGGCATGTCTATGACCTGCGAAAAGCATTCGGAGAGGGAGGTGAGAGTAAGGGAGGAACAACAGTCCCAGGCAGACTCTGAAACATTAAAGGGGGGAAAAAAACAACATCCATACAGAAAACAAGCAAACCACCCAAAGGAACATTGTCTTGACAAGGTAGACCAACAGAACTACATTAGCTGAATTATTCTAGTAAAAGCTGTACAGAACATATGGAAGGTTTGCGGGTATTCAGGAAGCTTTAGCATAGGAAATGGCTTCAGTCAAAGCCTGCACTAATACTGTGCTATTTACTGAACTAAATGTCAAACAAACAAACAAGCAAATTTACAGAAACAAAATCCCCAAATCAGAATCACTTATACTTTAATAAATAACTTCATAAACTGTTTTTTTGAGAACTTTTTCCTTTAGAGTAGCATTTTAAATTATAGCAGAAGCCAATCATTATGGTGGAGCCTGGACAAGGCACATAGAGCCTGCAGTGTAAGAAAGGCAGGTTCAGAAATCTGTCCACAAATGTTCCAAGAAATTCATGTCTGTCTATGTTAATTTCTGAGATCATAATTAAACAGTTATGCAGTGGAATCTGGATATCACCAAACCTTTACCATTTATTCTGTGAAATCAGTTAGTTTGCAAACTGCCCTTTAAGAACTTTTTACCTCTTAGAAAACACCTTGCTTTATGAAAAAGTATAATTAAAAATAAAAATAAATATAAATATTAGTGTTTCACCTATAATAAGCACTGCAATCTTCTATGAAGCAGCAACTGCCATACAGTTAACTAGACAAAGACATTTTCTTTTCAGATTAGTAAATGATGGAAGACAGACTTAAAAGCCAAAAGACATAATAGTCCGAGCTCTTAACTGCACCAACAGGTATGTGCAGAGAAGTCTAGCACAGTAAGGATATTACAAGCAAGGCGCCATAAACTCACCACTGGATGAGCAGTTTTGGGGTCAAATTCTGTCGAGTTAGCATCTGCAATGTTACGTTCATCAATTAGAAACACGAAGTCCCTCATACCATGACATGCATTTACAGGACCTCCCCCAGGTACAGCTGCATCTCGTCCCCACGCTTCCGGCAAGCGGCGACCTTAACTGTGCTGAGCCACTCACCTGCACAGAGCTGCCAGCTCAGCACCCGACAGCAAAAACAGGACTGTCAGCACTGTTTGATACGAATTTCTGAGAGTGCCTGGAGGTTGCAATCTAAGGCCAACCAGTCTAGTGCAATCGGTGATGAAAGCGAGAGTCATTCAGGAAAAGCACACATTCAATAGCTTAGAATATTTTAAATAAAGCCAGGGAGCGGTAAGGGAGCAGAAGTACTCTGAGAAACACATTTTTCCCTACCTGCACTACTAGCGAGACTCGGAATCAGGCTGAAAAACTAAATTTAGCACTCTGTAAATGGAGTTTTGACAACAGCAACCTAGTCAATTCAAGCAGTGGAGCCCAGAAAACAATTCAACTCACTGAAGTAGGTGCAACTGCCTCGCCAGCTGAATTGCTTTTTGGTCTTCATTCCCACTGGCTATAATGGGAATTTAGGATGTCCAGCACACATAGGCACCACTCCACTTAGGTGTTTTATACAGGAGCTGAACCTCACTCTAAGCAATAGAAAGTTTTCTGTCATTATAAGCATGCCTTACTCCATTGATTTTTATTTGAACAGGATGAGGAAATTCTTTTTCCTTTGAATTAGCAAAGGAGATGGGGAATTTTACAGGCCTAGAAAAAAAATTGTATCTTCCTACCAAAGAAAAATTAAAAATCAGAGGTATTTGAAAAATTACAGGTATTACTCAAGCAATCAAAGAAATGACCAAAACACAGGAAGGGTTTTGTGGAATTACCTTGCCAACCAAGAACACTGCGTGCAAACTCCACAACTGCTAACTGCATTCCCAAACAGACTCCTGCAGAAGGCAAGACAACACAGATCAAGTCAGGACAAGGACCACTGAGCCCGTGCCGCAAAGCACACGCACCTTCACAGAGCAGTCCTGAGTCAGAGGAAAACCTGGATGAGACAGATCTTTGACTTGGATTTAGGGGCCTGTTCGCTCTGTACCAAGTAGTTCTGATAAGTTTTACTCCACACCTCCCTTCCCCATCCACTCTGCTCACTCAACATTTCCAGTCTCTCACTACGTCCATTTCGTTTAAATGCAGTCACGTGTTTCTTCGTGCCAAGATCACCACAGCCTCCTCTGAAACTTCCTCCGAGACTCCTACCCCCTCATTATAGAGATTCCATGTCATCACATCCCAGCCAACTCTGACCACTTCAGAGCTAGCTACGGATGATGACTGAATTACCCAGTTAAGCTGAGCATAGATCACTGCCTTCCTCAGCCAATTATCTTCAAAATTGTACATTCTAGATACTTATGAAAATGAGTAAAGCTCTTGCTGCAGACCAGTTTGGCTGTTGTTCAAACTCCTTCTTTTCTTTATTTCTTCTTATGGATGAAATATGTTTCTCACCTAAGAAGGGTTTTTTCTGTTTTCTTGCCCAGGAAATAGCTTGAATTTTGCCTTCTGTCCCTCGAACACCAAATCCACCAGGAACCAGAACTCCGCTGCATGAGGATGGAAAGATTCCATTCGCATAGGGCTCATGTGAATTTCCCCCAACCACATACCACCCCTCTCCTGTAAAATCTTGGACTTGCAAGGCCTCACTCCAGAAAAGGGCTTTAGAGTGTCCTACGTGGCAAGGCCTGTTCTGCAGCACCGTTTCCATATGACTTCACATGAGCCGTCACATAAAATATCACAGAATTTTCAGGGAAACATTTTATGAATGCACATTTTACCTTCCCAAGAAATCCCAAATACAATGTGGGTTACAACACTAGAATGGTTCGTGTTGTATGACCCACATGCTCTGCACCAAACATGTTTGCAAACGTATCACCCAGCGAGGCCCATGCTGAGGAAGCCACTGGCTACAGTGTCAAGGCAGGCACAAAGACACCAAATTCTGCAGGAAGTTCTCTGTTATCCTGGTACCACCCAAAGCCTGCTTCCCTGCAAGCCCCACTTGTTCTTGTTTTCTGGGCTAACTCTTGGCATTTGTCTGCATCCTAACACTTTTTCCCTTCTCATGCTTTCTTCCTAAAGAACTTTATACCACACTTACACCTTCCGTCCTCTCTCTTTGGCTTTAATAGCCTCTGCCAGTACCTATCCTTTCCCATTATTTCCTCTCACCCTGTTTCCCTACTAAGCCTGTGCACATCTTCATCTGCGTGGTCACCTCCCCTACTGCTGCCTTTCACAAACTCCCTCGCTTATTTAACAATTCTCCATTTTACATCTTATCCTAAATTTCATTGAGAGGTACTTGGGCAATGTCAGAGTGCGCTGGTACAGAGCCTAAGAAAACAAGTCTCCAGTATGGCTCTTAATTCCAAAACTGTCAATAGCAGCAAGTTTATCAGACATGCTCCAAAGAAATGGCCAGTGTAAGTCTTACTCAGCACCACACAGCTTCTGCCATGCTTCATGGTATCGAACAGGTTCTTCCTGCAGAGTATCTGGCTCCAAGTCAGCAGAGTCAATATACTGGGAAGAAATCCAAAAAAGGATGATGAGATACTACCACAAGAGTGTAAATACAGGGTCTCCTTAATTCTCATTAAATTAAGATATCATCATTCCTCCTGGATAGCTCGGGATTTGTTTCCTCCTAGATACTTGCTTACGCTTTTTCTGGGCTGATTTCCTGTCTGCTAGTCAACAAAACTGCTTTCCAGCACCATCATACTACAGATGCACGAACAGAAGCCAATATTTTTTCTCTTCCCTGCAGCTCTGCTGTCCCATAAATGAAGCTCATGTCCATAAGACCCAGACTCATTAAATGTGAAGTTTTGATGAAGCACAGCGAGATGGGAACACACGGCTATGCAGACAGAAACAACCACACAGCAAGAAAAAAACTGAATCACTATCTCATCAAATATACATCATTTAATCTTCCAAGAGAAACTGAAGAACAAACAGGATATGGTGAAACACAGGCTGTTGTAATTAAAGGATGCTATGACCAATGTTACATATGGAAAACACTGCAAATTTTCCAGTTTCTCATCTCCAGTATTCCAGTATCTCTAAATTTCTGAATGTTCTGGCAGCCTGCTAACCCTTTGAACAACCATTTTTGTCTTGTCCTTTTTTTTTTTTCCCTTTCTTTTTTTTTTTAAAGCTTGGAATACTGCTGAACAGTTCTTTAATCCAATGTAAGATCTCCATGCGCAGGACTCACAGAACCCATTTCCCTTCTGAACCATACAAATACAGGTGTGTCAGGAACTATCCATAGATGCAGGCGCAGGGTTTACCCTTCACCAGTCTTACTTGTTTTATTTCTTTTCTCCTCTACTCATTTTGTAAGTTGAAAGGTAAACCAAACATAGCACAGTGCTGTTATAAAGCAAGCACCTATTTCCATGACTCGCTGGCATCATGAAACCACTGGACATTTAAAAAGTGTATGTAAATGAAAGTAAAATTTCTGACAACAGATACATATTTCACCTCTTCAGAGCATCTAGCTACAACCAAGACCCTTAAAACCACCTGTGCAGCCAAACCAGCATTAAAACCTTAATAAAGTCTGAGGCAGAAGCCTAATAAAACCTGTGAGTACCACAAGGATAACAGCAACAAAAAAAGGATCACTTTCAACAACTGTCATAGAAATTAAAGCAAACAGTCCCCTCCTCAAATATATCTACCGCTCTATCACAGTTCAGCACGCAACACTGAGCACTGAAGAGTTCCATCAATTATACAGACACCTTGTATATCTTACAGGATGAAAGGCTGGTTTGCTTTGAAGCTGGTTTATGCCTGACAACAGATGTTTTGATGCTGTAATCCAAGGACAAATTTAAAGTTCACTGGCTGAATCAACTCTCCTTTACTGTCTACGGGTTCGTGAGAACCTTAATTAAGATGTGTAGCACTGCAGGTGGAAGGAGCATGGGGAGGAATTTTTTTTACACACATGCACCCACTCCTACCTTAATGTCAAGTTTGTGGTTGATAGCCAGTGCAGAATGCTCCAGAGCTTTAATGACAGATGCGTAGGAATCTGAAAACTTGGTGTATTTGCCAACAAGTGCAATGGAACATGTTTCAAGGAGACGGTCATACCTAAACAAAATCAAAACACGAGGGTTATTTCGTCATTAACAGCAAATGGGGGCAAGAATCGCTTACATTCTATTCAGCTTTTCAAGTAATATAAACAGTTGGGCTCTGGAAAGTCAGTCGACTTTGGAAGAGATGACCTTTTGTAACAATTATGTCTTAAAAACATCAAAGCAAGAATAGAAGAAAGGAAAAATAAAAAATAAAGAAAACAATGACAGAGAAAAAGAGTTGCAGAAAGTCATGTATAAATTAACTCATCCCTCCTTATGCTGAAAAGCCATTTTGAGTAGATCCAAACTGTCTTTTCAGGAAGCTGTATTAAATTCAAAGCCTGCAGTAAACTATTAGGAGAGAGGATCAAAGCACAGCTCTGCATATGTTTATACTATACAGCATCTTCCCACGCTGCCTCTGACTGAGTTCACCGCAGCAGCTAGAAATACAGAAAGGAATTCTAGAGTCCTAAGGTTGTACTGCCTACACTTTCAATCCCCAGCATCTGGCAGCATGGGATTTACACAGCATTCCTGGCTACAGCTAAGAGATTGTTTAAAGTTTATTTCAAAATTGCAAAGTACCTTCAACCAAGCTGATTACCCAGGGCTTTCCCTGTCAAAAGAAAATGTTCTTGGCAGTGGTGGCTTGTGTCATGCATATAAAGGGAAACATCTAGATCTTGAAAATTAATTTCTTCTAAGGACAAACATATTTGAGGCTTCAGAAAGGGCCTGAATGCCAACTGAAAAGATTCCATTCACTATTTCCCCAAGAACATGGAGTCTATTCCCCACAAGAAAAAACAACAGTCCTAGGAGCCTCAGACAGAACAATTACAAAACAGTCGGTTCACTTGCTTGAAATCATACTCAAAAAATATATTTTTATTGACACTCCTGATGACTCCTACATATGCCTACAAAAGAATTTCAACACTTTGTAATGTCACTGGCGTTTTTTGTATAAAAAGGGAGGGCAGAGCTGTCTACCTTTTAAGTACTTCAAACTGGTTTTGACATAGACAGTACACTACCAACACAAGATAAGGAAGTCAATAACATTATCTTACAGGATTCTCATGTTGAAGAATTTTTTTTTTTCAAACAGTTAAACATCTAGGAAGAAAATGCATTTTTGTAGTAAAAAAAAAAAGAAAAAAAATTTGAACGCATGAGAACACTTGAGGAACATGAAGTAACACTCGTCACCTAATAACCAACGACCAAGAAGAGAAACTAATCTGGAGTCTTAATTCAAACTACGCCCAGTGGTGCAGCTCACCTGTCAGCCATTTCCTTCCACTTCATGAGCATCCTCCTGGGCTGCCTCTCAATGGGAAGGTCAAGCCTGTGTCTGAAGTAGTCAACAACTCCCTGCTCCTCTAACAACAGAGGAACCCGGTAAATAGAAGAGACATCATGAACACAGATGACCTGTTCATACAATATGGAAGTCATTAAAACAGATCTAAGTGCCTGTGCAATTATTTTTAGACAGATATTCAAATCTCCAGTAGACAACCACATGACCACCCTAAACTTCCAGGAAATAACATCTGTTGAATAACATAACAACATATGAATAGTTTAATACTAGTTTCCACATACTTGAAAAGGTCATCCTTCAACACTTCCCAGGTATTACTGCTCACTGGAGCTCCTTGGGAAGGGCTATAACACAACAACCTAGCAGTAAGAAAGTCAGCTGCTATGCAAGTTATGTGAGCGCATAGCGAAGTTCAAAGAACACTTTAACGAGACTTCTCCTACGATACAGCCTTCTTGGTAATCCTAATTGAAACTACAGTTAAACTGCCCACAAGCCCAGCTTCCCCGTTTTCCATCACTGTCGTTCCTAACCAGGGCTCCCAGTTCAATTAAAGCCCAAGGAAATCTGTGATCTCAATACAGCAATAAATTTTACAGGACATCCTTCATCAAATTTAGGATTAAACAACTATGAGCAAAGAATTCTTAGGTCAATGAGGAATATCCACACCAACGGTTCTAGTTCACTGAAACGGGCTTCCACAGAAAAGGAAAGATGGCTCTGGACAACTGTCTCCTGTCCATCAAGAATCAGACTGTACTTTAAGGATCAAAAATATACTGGCACAACTATTTTTAAAACTTCATTTCTCCTGACTCAAATGAAAGCAGAGTTCAACACTGCACCAGTAAAACCCCTTAGGCTGCAAATTTTCCTCCTTTATAGTCAGTAACATTTACTTCTCAATTCAAGTGCAACTGCAGTCAGAGAAACAACTATGTAAAATTGTATTAAACTTCCTGGAAAGTGACTGACAAGGGCCAACTTACTTTCAATTCCTATCCAACAAGAGGTAGATATTGTGCTGCTGACTTATCAATATTATTGCCAGCTAATTCTGAATGTATACTTGAAACTGCAAGACTCAGTTTGACCTCATTGTATAGGAAATTAATAAAAATGATTTGACAGAGCCTGGAATTGTGAAGTGATACTCAGTCTTTCACAAAAAGAGAAAACTTTTCAAGCTCCAGCTGGATTGGAAAGTGGTAATATTTAGCCTACAGATTGTTTGATTATTTTCCAAGGTCCACCTCAGACTATGCTATGCAGAGTAGTCTCAGTATAAGAAGAATCATGCTACCATGAAATTTTTGCGTATCACATACATTCAAGTGAAGCAATACTTCTCTCATATACCATTTCAACTTCTCTGTGTAATCTCTCCTCATGCAATCTTGGGCAGAAGAATACTATCGTGAAAAGAGCAGTCCTTTAAACCTAATTTTGGGCAACTACTCTTTGGCTTCTAATACCAAAAAATCTCATTCTTCTGTATTCACAGAAGGAATGTGGAAGGATAACTAAGGTCAAAACCAGCTATTCAGAAAATACCTTGGATTCCATAGAATTCTCTAAGCCTACGCTAATTACCTTATAAGAAAACCTGTGTGCTGGCATAAAAAGGACTATTTTTGCAACGGTTACATGTGTAAGGAATGTAGGCAAGACAAAGCAGCAAATGAATTATGCAGCTAACAAAAGACACAGCTAGACACAAAAACGCTACGCTCAGATAAAACTCCACTCAGCATTTGACAAACAGCTAGAATATTTATTGCAAGGAAGTACAGACAGCAATCTTTACCTGTTCTGGTTCAACGTGACAGAACATGGAAATCTTTTCTTTTACTGAGGTATCCAGTGGAGTGGAGCACCTGCAAACAATCTAACAGAACAGCAACATCAAGGTTGTGAAGCAAAACAGAAGTAATCAGACATCCATATAACAAACCTCTAAAAAAGCTATCTTTCTGCAGTTTCCATGACTTGGGGAAAAACCCAACTCCGTTACTTTTACTTCTTTACTACCAATACACAATAGCTCTCAACCTAAGCATTATTTAGACTAGGATGTTGTTGCAACATGCCAGTACTGCATTTTCAAATTCAAAGCCACATAGCAAACCTTACCAGATCTGGTGAGAGACCAAGACCTCTGAGTTCACGAACACTGTTTTGGGTGGGTTTAGTCTTCTGCTCTCCTGTAGAGCTTGGCTGGTCAAAGAAGAGCAGAAGTTGGTATATCAAATTATGATGATACGTAGCAATGATTCATCATGCTAATCGAGACTCTCCACCTCATTCATCTTGTAAAGACTTTGACCCAGTACTTAGATAATTCACATGAACTTTAAATACCCCTGTACACTATCACTTTAATCTCAAAGACTGAAAGCAACTAGCAGAAACCAAAGCCTGTACAGTAAGTAGGTATGCATTATAGTACGGGAAGGAGAGAGCAGAGATCCTAAGGTTTTTATCCACTGATCCCTCCAAATACCTAATATTTATATTTCTAATTTTTTCTCTGTAAATCAG